ACCGTTCGCGAACTGTTCGGCGGGAAGTTCGTTTATGTTCGTTTATTTAATAAATGAACGAACATGAACACAAATTCTTGTTTGTTTAGTTAAACGAACGAACATGAACAATGGTCTCGTTCGTTCATTTACGTTCGTGAACATTCGTTTATGTTGTTCGTTTACGTTCGTTTATGTTCCTCCGTTTAAGTTTTTTTAGGTTCATATATTTTCAGTTGTTTTTTATTACATTACTATATTATAGTTCGTTTATGTTCATATATGTTCAATTGTGTTTGTTTATCTTTGTTCGTTTATGTTCGTTTAGCATGTTCACAAACATAAACGAACGAACATGAACAAGACAATTTGTTAAACGAACAAACATGAACAAGAAAACTCCGTTCGTTTATCCGTTCGTGTCGTTCGATTGTTCGGCTAACTTAAACGAACGAACATGAACAAGCCTTTGTTCGTGTTCGTTCGGTTCGTTTACAACCCTACTCATTGGGCCTGGAATATAATTTACATGCTTAATGGGCCTTAGTTGTCCACTTACATGTTTATGGGGCATGGAACATACCTTTCATGTTTATTTGCGTAAATTCGATTAAGAATCTAGTGAGACGTTTCGTTTGGCACCAAATGAGTGTACAAACGTAGCCTGTAGTTATAACCAGAGTCTCCCGGAGAGAGAGCGAGAGTTTGTGTATAGATCTATACGGGGGTGACACCCCACACCTGAGCTGTTCGCTACAGTTAGACTAGGCCAGTCTAGGGTGACAAACCTTACCTTAAACAAGTCGGCGTCTTATAGATGTCATGACAGGCGAAATTGTCATTATCAAGTATGGTTATAACGGCCCACTTAGAGGAATTAACACCATTATCAAATTTACGGGAAACATTCTTTTGTGGAAACACGGTAACCTACACGCACTAGTACTCAACCTCGGGTGTTGAGATTCCAACATTTTCATAAACGGACAACATCGGGTTGTCTGGGGTCATTCTATTTATATATTCTCATAAACATTAACCCACATGCATTAATACAAGATCGGACACAAACATTTCAAACCATTTTTCAGAAAATATCGAATTTTCTGGTGTTTACAAAGTAATACAAAACATTTTTTTTCCTAAAACATGCTTATGAACTCACAAACATTATATATGTTGACAATTTTAAATTAACTTGTATTCTCAGGAAATCATTGAGCCGGTTGGTCAGCAAGAATACCTGGATATTTTGTTATGTTTTGTTTTCATCATACTTTGGATATTTTGGCATGTAATATTGAAATGCAATCTTTGATGTAAACCAATGACAGTTGTAATATTACATGTGTGATGATGATGATGTTATGTTTCAATTATATACACTGTGATGATACTACAAGATTGAAGTCACCTAAGCCCCCGGACGTTTCCGCTGTCTGGTTCGGGGGGTGTGACACTTTCCAAGTTCCATAACTTGAGGGCAAGTTATGAAACTATTCAAAGCCATTTATAACAAATTTTGTAACCTTTGAAGACTCTTGGAATTCATAACTTAAAGAGTTAATGAATGAGACTTTTCACATCCATAACTTATGGAAGTTTCAAAACTCTTAAAATCATAACTTTTAAAAAGACTTTTGAGTTCCAAAATTTTATGACAAAATTTGTAACTCCTTAAAAACATTTAGATCAAACGTTTAAAACAAATAAAATAATCATATCATTCTATCTTTTAATAAATTGACCTAATTCAACTCTTGTAGTAAAATGACTCAAATTTTACAAATAATTAGTTTTTCATAAAATCAAGTAATTATCTTAAAATTTGACAAACTTCATGTTTTTTTTCTTCCAACTTTGAAAATCAAACATTTGCATAAATATAACAGAAAACAACCCATGGCTCTGATACCACTGTTGGGTTTTGTATACTACAACATCCTATGGTGCACATACAACCCTAAATGCTTTGGATCTATGTTTTCTCTAATTATACATGCAATATTGTTTCCAAAGCATTAAGCCTACAACTAGCATATAATTGACATAAACAATATAAAATACTAGTTAAGAGTTTACCTCTTTATGTAGCTTGTGGAACCTGTTGTATTTGGCCTTTAAGAACTTAACACCCCAAGTGTGATGCCTCAAACGGTTCACAACACACCTAGGACAAAAGGAGAACTTGAGAGAGATGTTGCTAGCTCCAAAATCGGCTCTAATGAACTCCAAGAACTCTAGTGTTCGATTTTGGGTGCTAAGGGAGTCCTTTTATAGTGTGGCAAAGTCTAGGATTACATCCATGCAAACTCTAATGCCCATGACCTTTCATATTACTTAGGCTCCATGGGTTAAACCTCCATGGACTATCCATGGACTACCATATAGGTTTAGCCCATCCTAAATAACAACTGGCTCACACTATAAGAATCATTGATTTACCAAATCAATCCCCATATATTTAATTAGTCTCTTTTGATCACATAATTAATTCCAAATTAATTATTGATCAATACTAGTTAAATAATATGATTTCATATTAATATATTAGAACTTATAATATATTAATAAATCATAAGTAACCTCTTACTCAAGTATCCATCCTATCAAATTGTTCTAGTGATATGCAACCCGAAATGGACCATGCTACTCTCGGGTCAAGTACATACCAATTATAGTTATGGGCTTAGACACCTAATCCAACACATATATCCAATCCGTGTATGGAGAAATATTAGGAACATAATGTGATATATTAAATTTAAGAAAAGAAAAGAAAAGAGACAATAACTTTAATAAAGAAGGATAAAGAGAAAGAGTGTGTAAGAAGAATCAGATGATGTTGATGAAACATACCACAAAATATATTGTTATCAATGTAAAAGTCTACCTGTAATTACCACCCAAAAAGAATCAAAGTGAAAATTGTTGGATTAGATGTCTAAGCCAATAACTAAATTGGTATATACTTAAACTATTGACAAAACCCTTTTCGGCTGCCCTCAAACCTGATAATTGAATAGGATAACTTTTGGATAGAGAGACTGATTTATTGATTTATTATAAAATTAATAAATATCAATAAATGATTTGTTAATATATTATGAGAATAATATATTAATTAGAAATGGTATCTTTTAATTAAGAATTAACCAGAAACTAATTAGAATTAGATTTAGGATTAATTGGATTAATTAAAAATGCAAGGACCTAAGCTGTAATTGTTCAATAGTTGAAGAAAAGACATTCAAGAACCTTCCGCAAGAGGTGGATGGTTTGGAGGGAACTTTAGGGTTCTAGAGTATCCATTGGAGAAAATTAGGAAACCAAATAATTACCTGATTTAAGATATTATTATTTTAATCAAGTAATGGTTATCTAAGGTTTTCTTATCAGCTATAAATAGGACCTATTGTCTTCATATTTTCGACTAATCATTCCTTTAGAAGGATAGTCGAAAATTACCTTATCATCTCCTCTCTCTTCAAGTCTCCTTGGTTGTTAGGGTTTGAGTGTGAACCATCAGAGGCACGAGATTTTTGGTGCTTGCTTCCAAGAGTATTTCAAGTACGATAGGGTGGATTGTTTACTATAACAATCAAAAAGGTATGTAATCCCTAACTTGTTTATTAATTTCGAAAATAACTAGGGCTTATAGGGTTCTTGTTGTTCAATAGAATGTTACTTTAATAGTGTTATGGCTAGATCTAATAGGTTGCATGTACCCTTAAGTGTATAATGATTTATCCGCGTTAGTGCATGTAAAACCCATCAAAAATATCATAATCAATATGTTAGAAACATATAATTTAAATAAAATGTATAAAATTGAAGAATCAGAATAAAGCAGTCATTTTATTTTGATTATTTAAATTTAATAGGATTCGTAAAATCAGAAAGATAACAATATTAATAAGATTTTGAGGTAGTTTAAATTTTTTACTTTGTTTTTTTATCATTAAATGAGCTAAGAAAATGTTAATTTTCATTGAGTGATATTAAATTTTATTATGAGTTATATCAATATTTTATAAAAAATAAGAAAATAAATATTGTGGATAACAGTTCAACTTAAGACTTAATTTGGTCAAACGATATAATATATGGTTAATTTAGGTATTTTGGTTTGAATATAGTCACGACAAAAACTCATGGGTGTAATAACTTTTGTAAGGGCTTAAAACAATTGCCATTGAATTTATCAATGAGATATCAAAATTTCTAACCATAATGTTTTTCTTAATTAAAAGTGAAACGGAAAATAATATTTTGTGGTTGGTCCCATTATCTGCAAAGAAGCTGAAACAATCCATCTTTGATGTATGCTAAGTGCTAACAATCGAGTGAATTTTCACTTAAAAAAAGCTAACATATTAAAATTGAAAAATAAATTTTGTGATGGAATTCAAAGCATTTGTTACTCAAATAAAATCTAAGCATTTGATATGTTAGAATTTCTCACAAAGGAAAAACATCACCATTTGTACGAGAAGGAGAAAACAGGTTGCAAAAACAAAATTTTAATGATTTTCCTGTAGATGGTTAGTTTAGAAAAGTTAAGCTTACCGTTTGATGTGTTGGTTAGCAATGATATCCATTTCCTCTATCATGGTTTTGGACTTTTGCCAATCTAGACAATCTCATCAAATAATACCCTCAAAATCTTACAAAGTTAGGCATAAAGAAATTCTCATGGTTTGGTCTATTTAAAACATTTCACAACCTTTCCTATTTATAGAAGAGGAAATGTTCTCTTGTTTACTCTCACCATCGATGTGGGATGAAAACATTGTAATAAATTACAATTTCTTGTTTATAGAACATTATTTAATTTATTTATAATATTATTGTAAAGAAATTAAAAAGTCACGAAAGTTTCAAATTAATGAGGTGAAAAGAAAAATGATTCTTTTATAAATATATATAAATATAAATATAGATTCGAAATGTCTAACCTCAACTACCCAAAACCGAAACTTTTTCATTGAAATTTTAGTGCGACAATGTCGCACCAGTCCGTTTAACCTTACCAAAAAAAATTCAAAATGAAACTACCCAAAACCGGAAGGTATTCCGATGAACACCGTACTTAAAAATATCACACTCTGCGGCCACGTGTTACTGGCAGAAGCATTACACGTTTTCATTCACGTTGAAAACAAGCGTGAATTTCTCTGGATAGAAATATAGCAAACAGAATCTATAAAACAACAAAGTAGGTGAATGTTCTTCCTCTACACTTCAAATCAATGGCGATTTTATTCAACCCTAATATCACTTTGAAGCTCAACAATGCATCAAAACTTGACATCCCAAATTATCTTCTCCAAAACCCTAGAAATCCATCATCGTTATCATCTTTTCATCTTTATTCTCCAATGCGCTTACGCTGGGTCAATGGCAATGCATATGGATCCGACTTCAGTTACAGAAAGATGGTTCCAACTCGACACCAATCAGACTCTAAATTTGTGGTTCGATCTTCGGTCAAGAGTTCACAATCACAAGTTCCATCAAATTCAAACGGTAGAATTATTTTTTGGTCTGCAGTTACCCTAGTGTTAGCTGTTGGGAATCGCGTGCTCTATAAACTTGCTCTCGTGCCTATGAAGGAGTACCCCTTCTTTTTAGCTCAAGTCAACACTTTCGGGTAATTTCTTTTTTCTTTGTTACAGAAAGATTCCTAACATCAGTCAATCTGGTTGCAAATGTTATCTTCTGTTTAATGTAGGTATGTGGCAATTTATTTTTCTATACTGTATATAAGGCATCGTGCTGGAATTGTAACGGACGAGATGATGATCCTTCCAAAATGGCGGTTTGCGGTAATCGGTATGCTAGAAGCCCTAGGAGTTGTTGCTGGGATGTACGCTGCAGGTATTATTATTGGTTTCTTCTTTGGCTAAAAAGTGTTACCCTTGCAAAGTATTTGATAGTAAATATGCATTTGGTCTAGTAAAAAGTTAGGACTTGGTAGGGGAAATACTGATTTCCTTGAAATGGTTGTAAAAAACCAGCCATACAGATATTAGATACTGATGGATAGTTAAATGGACTAAATGTTGTCCATCAACCAAATCTGACTGTCTGGTTAAGGATACTGTGGGAAACGAAACCAATCAATCAGTATTTGTTTGGTTAACTGAAATCTGAATGTATCTTTTACAGCCATGCTCCCTGGACCAGCTATACCAATATTGAATCAGGTACTGTCTGTCAGTTTCTGAAGAAATCTTGTGCTGTCTTTTGTTTGACTTAATGTTATGACCTATGACCTATCAGCTAGTTATGTTATGTATATGGTAAAATTCTTAAAGAGAAACTCAGAAAAAGGAGGCTTTTTTCCTTCCAGTTCCCCTTTGTCTGTTGTCCAGGCTTAATGGAATTTTATTATAATAAAAAGATGAGTTGTTTGTTGGGGAATTTGTGTAGTGATGATCAAAACCTGGATATCAAATTGGATCGTGTTAGACACTCTCCGTAAGTAGTATTTTGACCTTTTAATGTTTGGGTGTCACCTTCAAATACAACTTAGAGTTTAGCCGGCACAGGCATACACACAGAACGTAACGTAACGTGAAGTAAATCACTAAATTCGTGTAAGGCTTGTTTGTTCAGATTTCAGATTGAGGGAGGGAGAAGATTATGTATATATACCAACGTTTCCATCCAAATGGATAAACATCAATAATAGCAGTAAGTGGTGGTTGACAGTGACACTACAGCAGTTTTAAACATTAACCTTCAGGGGCTGTGACTCCTTGGTCCGTGTCCGGTTCAAACAAGATTATACAAGCGTGCACTTTGTACCTCGTAACTCGTATTGGAGATAGCCTAAATCCTTTTTGGTACTCATATCAGTAAATCTAAATTTCCTGAAATGCTTGATGACACTAAGGTGGTGTTGTTACTTTGTTTTTGAAGAGGTAAAATGTCCATCATGTCTTTAGTCTTCATAAAAAAAAAATTGTTTGTTTTTTAAAGTCTTGTTGAAAAAATGATCGGTGGTGGTGGGTGGCGTCAGTGTATCGGTATCAAATGGTTTCACTACTTGTGATTTATGTATATGATTAAAGAATCCCTCATATTTTTAGTTTTACTATCTAATAAGCCATGCAATGCAGTATATGGTCTAAGGCAACTTTTAGATTCTTGGCAAGTTAAGTTTTATTTGTGTAACCATTCACATCGGGAATAAGATGCGTGCATAGTATCTCTTAGGTGTTGTATTTCTTTTTGAATTAGCAGACTGAAAGGGGACAAACGCGATGATAGATCCTTGTTGAATCTATCATATACCCCAGGCATTCTAACAGATTCCAAGCAACAAAACACTCAATAATACCAGAAAATTAGGATAGAATTCCCATTCATTCGAGAGGAATGGACTCTCCAAAAGAAGAACAAAGTTCTTTACAAATCAATTATTAGCTACCTAAACAATAACCCCTGAAGGGTATATATACTAGACATGACCAAGGAAAGATACTCCAAAAGGAGTGGTCCCTCAAACAAACAAGGGACAAGGATAGTGCTCCTAACATAACAAAACAGCCAATAACAATCATAATACCAAAAAGACCATTCTACCCCTGGCCAAAAAGATAACAGAAATGTAGGGGCTTATCAATACCCACGGCCCAAACTTTCACCTTGTCCTCAAGGTGAAAAGATGAATATATTCCTATTGTACCCCCGTTCTTGTGTAGTGGCAAAAATGAAAGGTAAACCAAAAGCAAGTGGGTTTAATTTCTTTTTGATCCTCATAATCAACGTCGTAGCTGATTTAATTACACTTGGGCTTGAGTTAAAAACGTTACCCATCGAGTATAAAGTCCGAGCAGCTTTTTGTGAGCCCAAAATGTTGATCACAGCCCAATTATCTCTTTGAAGCCCAATTTTGTAAAACCCTAAAATCTCTTCCTTCTGTGCATAGACTAACGGAGCCGTTTTCTTACTGAAGCGCCGTTGGTCCTCCGTTAACCGGAAAAGGGTTGATCGCTGCTCGTACTGGTTCTTTCCCGCTTGGTCTGGCATTGAATCAATCGTTCCTTTCCTCTTTGATTGAATTCCCGACAGTGGTGGTGGTGGCGTCGGCGGCGGCGGTCTGTAGCTATCGATCAAGTGCATCTCTCTCCTTCTATCATACCGATTTATGCCTCTTGTATTCAATGTCGCCGCCATGCTGCTGTTCTCGAACCTTATAGCTGGTGTAAACAGCGGTGGTGAAGGTGGTGGAGAAAGCTGTGGAGCCGACTGCAGTGATGGTGGAATCTGATGTTCCATCACAGGTTCCGATTCCCACTCAGTAACTTCCAATGATTCTTCTTCATCATCCGATTCCAACTCAGCAACTTCCACTAAATTCCTCTTCCTCCTCTTCATGGACTACTTTCTCCTTCTCCTTCAAGGTTGAGTAATAAATTTGTCTCCATTTCGCCTTCTCAGCCTCCATCCCTTCCTCTGAGTAGTAGTATTTTTTCATTTGTGCTATTTTAGCTTCTGTCTCTTCTTCTCTCTTTATCTGATTCTGACGATGCATCTCCATTAGCTTCGCCATCTCTAGCAGATCTGTTTGGATTATCCTCCTTGCTATCATTTCTTCCCCAGCATCAACAGCTCTGATACCATTTGATAGATCCTTGTTGAATCTATCATATACCCCAGGCATTCTAACAGATTCCAAGCAACAAAACACTCAATAATACCAGAAAATTAGGATAGAATTCCCATTCATTCGAGAGGAATGGACTCTCCAAAAGAAGAATAAAGTTCTTTACAAATCAATTATTAGCTACCTAAACAATAACCCCTGAAGGGTATATATACTAGACATGACCAAGGAAAGATACTCCAAAAGGAGTGGTCCCTCAAACAAACAAGGGACAAGGATAGTGCTCCTAACATAACAAAACAGCCAATAACAATCATAATACCAAAAAGACCATTCTACCCCTGGCCAAAAAGATAACAGAAATGTGGGGGCTTATCACGCGACTTAATCCAATCTGCTAAGCTATATTTGAGTGTTTCTTTTTGACTTAATGCAGTGGATATGGAATAAGGCTTTCCTCCATTAAGTCCCAACTTTTTACATATTTATTTTTTCCTTCCATTTGCCCTACCTAGTGACAGTGTGCTGTCATATTCTCGAATATTTTGTAAACATCATTTATCCAGATAACACTTGATGAGAAATATAACGTAACAAGGCCTAAGCTTGTGTTGTTGCAGACGTTTTTGTTGTGGCAGCTGGGTTTTTCTGCTCTACTTTTAGGAAGAAGGTACTCATGGAATAAAATTGCAGGATGTCTACTTGTTGCTGCTGGAGTGGTTACAGCTATTGCAAGGTATCATAATTTTTTATTTCTAGAACCAACGATTTTTTGGTGGTTTTTATCTGTTTGTTCACAAGTTAGAAGTAATCATCAAAATAATGGAATGATTGCATAGCATATTTCCACTGTATTTTCATATGCTGGAATTGATAGCATGTTCAGAGTTGTTGCGTCATTATTCCATGCCCTTTATCCATCTTCAACTTTGAAACTTAATTTATTAGGCTACATTTGTTACATGGAAACCAGAAGAAGACTAGACAAAACCGGACAAGCTGATCTCTAGGGTTATTTTTGATGATGAGGAGAGGGTATTCACGTCTTTTAAACCGAGTCTCAGTCCAAACACACAGTATAAGACCATCAGTCATGTCATGTCATGTCCTGAGTAACACATACACACACACACGAGGTCTTTGGACTTTTATGTGTATATATATGTCTGTAGTTTGAAAACTAAAAATAGCATATGACTTTGACAATAGCGGATCAGAAAGTGGTCAAATGCTATCGGGAGTTGGGATGCTGTGGCCAATAATGATGGTAGTATCAAGTGCATTCCAGGCTGGTGCAACCATTATTAAGGTAAGGTAATAATATATATATATATATATATATATATATATATATATATATATATATATATATATCATATGAAAATGGTAATTAACTTTAGATTGTTGTTTGGGCAATGGGCAGGAGTATGTTTTTATTGATGCTGTTACCCGTCTAAAGGTACAATCGTTTCCCCTTGTTTGAAGAAACATATTATTATTGCTTGTTTGCTTATTATGTATTTCACATTCCATTTTGATTTCTACAGGGGAAGTTGCTCGATATATTTGTTGTTAATTCATTTGGTTCAGGGTTCCAGGTACTTACTTAAAATTAAATACCGCCTTACAAACAGAAATCAACCATATCAGCATTCTGTATATTTCCGTACGCGTTCACTTATCTAAATATACTAAAATTAACCAGCTTTATTACCCATCATTCAAAGGCTTCTCGAATCTTGATACAAACTAACCATTGTTCTTGGTGTGAAAGCCAAAAATAACACACACCAGAGTTGCACGGATGGCTGGTTCTTGTATGTATTTATTTTCAAAGTATAAAGACAAGAATAAGAGTCTCTCTATGTCATCTTCAGAAATGTTTTTTATAAAACAAGAACAAAATTGCAAAAAAAACCAATAAAGGGTATTTTGGTCGTCTAATGGTATAATTCTTTTAAACTATTTACAAATTAAACCTAAAACGCCAACGAAATGGAATTGGATTCCTTACCAACCAAACACGTGGCAGATTATAATATCTTCATTTGACAGAATCCATCCTTTCAAAAACATTTTGCAAACCAAATGCCCCTAAGAGTCTTTGTCTAGAAATCACTCATTTATGCCAATCAAGTGTAATGTTCTTTTTGCATTTTCCCAAGAGCCTTTTATTTGCAAAAAGAAGCTTACTAAAAAGTTAATAACCCAATATTAATGACAATTCATATCTTTGCATTTCTTGTATTGAGTACATTGAAAGCTGATTTTATAATGAATCAGTCATTAATTAATTTACGTATGTTGTAGGGCATTGAGGCCCTGTTTGTTTGTGTTGTTTGTTACTCTGGACAAGAGTGAACAGGTTCTACTGCATTTAGGTCAATGGGACAAATATAACAATTTTTTTTTTGTCCCACCAAAAAAGTGAAAGAAGGTGGGACAGGGACTCACTTTCAATTTCCTGTCTGTGAAAAAACATCGAGAATAACTCTATAAAGCTTGTCCAGTAGTCCCGTGTAACAGACTACACATAGTCTGATGGGGGGAACATATCAAATTATTTTTGCTGATGATGATTTATTTGTAGGCTCTTTTTGTGCTTTTGTTTCTTCCCTTGTTATCAAATCTGAAAGGCATACCACTTCACGAGCTTCCTTCATACATAAAGACTGGAGCTGGTTGCTTTCTCAACATCGGCGCTAGTTCATCAGGTGATATTCTTAAAATTTGTGCAAATAAATGCAAAAGGGATCTTACTCTAGAAAGTATGCTATGAAGCAACACTAAGGCCCTGGCTTTTTTACTATCAAGTCCTGAATGGATAAGAATACATTCAAAACACACATGATTTTGGGAGGATGAGGGATGAAAGTTGGAGAGATAATAGAGATATCATTAGGTATGAGAAATCTGTGATTTGATCATAAGAAGACTAGGGCAATTGTGGAAAGTGTCACGTCCCTCCCCCTACCTGCTTTCCATGTTTAGTCTTTATTTATTCATTTTTATTCATTAAGTGTGTGTGTGTGTGTATGTATATATATTGAGTTCATTAAGTTAAAACGAAACACCACCTAAGACTTATAGTAAAAGTAACGGTAAGAGTAACAATGAATCACTTAATGGACAAACTAAGGAATGAGGCTATCCCCAATCTGTTAACAGATTCACCCTCTTCTATTTTTTCCTTTCATTTTCTCAAATAAGCTTTAAACATCATTTATTTACATGATTGTTGGTTTCAGGTTGCGAGGGTTCACCACTGTTACCATTACTCTACATACTCAACAATATTGCTTTCAACATATCGGTTCTCAACCTCGTCAAAATTTCTTCTGCTGTCGTTTCTTCACTAGCAATTGTGCTATCAGGTCTCTCTCTCTCTCTCTCTCTCTCTCTCTCTCTTGCAAACAGAAGAAATAGGTTTCTTTCCTTAGAATTCTGAATGTTACCGTGAGATTGAGATAGAAAGAAGAACGAGAAAACGAATTGATTTATTTTACTTGATTAAAAAAACAAAACAGGAGGAAATATAAATACTAAAAAACCTAGGGCCGGCTAGCAACCTCAAGACCTAATTTTTAGCTACTTTCTTTTTTATTATTTAAACTAGACATTTAAATAATAAAAAAGAGAACAAATTAAAATAAAGTGTGTTACATACAATCTTCACTTCCCCTAAAGGTAGGTATTAATGTCAATCATATCCAACTTGCTCTTCATACTATCAAATTTATTCTTCGGAAGGCCCTAAGAATGTCAACAATCTGGAAGTTTGAAGGAACATAAGTGTATACCAGTTCCAAGCTTTTCTTTGATGAAGTGACGATGGAGCTCCACGTGTTTGGTTCTATGATGATGTACCGAGTTTTTAGCTATCTCAATGACAACATTATTGTCGCAAAAGGGTCATTTTCGTGCTGTTTGGAATCTTAAGTTCCTTAAGTATCCTTCCGAGTCAAATTCTCACACAGATTCCTTGACACATTGCATGGTATTCGGCCTCCAGCTATGACTGATTTCTTTTTGCTTCGCTAGGTGACAAGATTTACCTATACAAAAGGTACAATATCCAATAGTTGATCAGCATTGGTATACACTTTAACTTCCCACTCAGTAGTCTTTTTGAAGAACAATCCAGATCCTGGATTCTTTTTTAAGTAACGGAGTATCTAGAAAACTGCTTCCATATGTTGTGTTGTTGGAGCATTCATGAATCTGCAAACCCAATGTCTGGTCTCGTATGTGCAAGGTAGATCAATTTTCCAACCAATTTCCAATATCTACCATTGTCCGCCAACTCTTCTCTATTTTCTGTTCAGGATTTTTTTCCAGGCTCAATTGGTATGCTAGCTTGCTTACACCCTAACTAGCAAAAGGTCTAAGGTGTATTTTTGTTGTGTCAGAGCCATTGTCAGAAAATATCTAATTTGGCCCAGATCTTTGATTTTGAACTCCCTTCCCAAGACCAGTTTCAGCTCATCGATGTGCTTGTAATTATCGGTTTTAATGATGGCATCGACAAAGACAATCATGATTGCGACCTATCTATCTATCTATCGCAAACATCGTGTGATTTGCTTGCCCCTGAATAAATCTATAACTCTTATTCACTTGAGTCGGTCGTTCAAACCAAGCTCGTGGTGATTGTTTTAGCACATACATGGACTTCCTTAGCTTACACACCACTCCTTTATTTTCTTGTGATTCTAAACCTCATGTAGACTTCCTCTTCTAATTCTCCATTTAAGAATGACTTCTTTACATGGAGTTAATACAATGGCTAATCAAGATTTGTAGCAAGCGAGAGTAAAAATCGAATGGAATTTAATTTAGCTACATGTGCAAAAGTCTCTATATAATCAATTTCATAAGTTTGCTCGTGTATAGCCTTTTGCACGGAAACACCTTGTATTTTGGTGATAGTTTATCATATGAAACAAAGTTACTTATTGGGTGTGCAGTACAACTCCTCCCTTTCCCCTTGTGTAAATGTAAAGCAATTGGAACATTCAAGTCGAAATCATCAGGATGAACATACAAACCAGAGGTTTGAGATTTGGATATTACCTTGTAAATCTGGGGATGATTCATCATTCATGATTGTGTGCATCAGTCGTGACTAGCTCTACCACCATAGGTTGCTTCCGGCGTCTCGTATAGACAATGTAGTCATTTTGAGCATCTTTGTTCTTATCTTTTTCTGATGGATTGGAAAACAGGCATAGGTGTTGAAGAATGTATCTATGTGTCATGGCTTGACTTGGAAGGGTTTTGATTCGGATAACACCAAAAATTGATATTCCACAGAGTTCTCTGAATAGTAGGGTTCTTCAAAGAAGGTGACATCCATTAAGTGAACATTTTATGGAGGATGGGGAATAACATTTATATCCACACTGGTTTGGGGAATATCCTAGAACACACTTGATCGATCTAGGGTCCATTTTGTTATGATTGGGCTGATGGTTATGAACAAATGAAGTGCAACCAAAGATTTTGAGACTTTTGACAGAGTTCGAATGTGAGGGAAGGACCGAAGTTTCTGGTATGGGGGTTTGAACCCAATAACTTGAGAGGGAATTTGGTACGCAACAGTTAAAATTGCTTCTCCATAGAAATAATTTGGGACAAAACTTGAAAAAAAAGGTGATCGAGGGCATTTGGTCATTTTGTTGCGGGGTATTGACACAAGTGGTAATGTGAACAATTCCATGTTGATTTAAGCAGTTGGGATGAGTCAAAGTATTCTTTTGCGTTATTAGATTTGAGGACCCGAGAGGACCCGAGTTCTGGTTGCAAATTGATTTTGGACCATTTTATGAAATTGCTGAAAAATTGATCTAAACTTCATACTTGTCTTTCAATAGGAAAACCAGTGTGGATATATTCGTGTATGGTTACAAACAATCTTCCTATATGACAATTGTGATAGACTCTGTAATGACGGCCTGGACAGTTGATGGAATCGTTGGAGGTGCCTCGACTGTCATGTCTGCTTGACTTAAATGTACCAGAAACCCTTCTTTTTCCTGTTGTAGTTCTTTAAACAAACTTTTACAAGATATTAGTGTTTTAGAGAGACTAGGATCCCCCAGAATAGTCACACAACGATCACCCATCCAAAATTGCATTCTTAGCTCTCGCAAGTTAACTATCATATTACCAAGAGTCTGTAACCATTTAATACCCAAAATCACATCAGATCCTCCTAACTCCAACGGGTAGAAATCTTCTATAATCTATAACTCGGGTAGGCTAAGGACTACCCCCAGACATGTTCCTCGACTTTGTTCCATCATGCCATTCCCGAGCCTTACTCGTACCGACCCGGTATTTGAAATTTCCATACCTAGCTCCCGTACCACCTGTTTTGAGATAAAGTTGTGGGTGGCCCCGCTGTTTATCAACACGAGCACTTGCACCCCACCCATATCACCTTTAATCTTCATTGTTTGTGGGGGTGTGAGACCACTAACCGAGTTGAGGGATACCTCCACTGTGTCGAGGTGTGCATGCTCGGTTTCTTCTTCTTCCTCGTTCTCGCCTTCCTCGCCGTCAACTATCAATACTTGAAGAGTTTTACTGGGGCAACGATGGCCCGGTGTGAACTTCCCATCATATCGGAAACATATTCCTTTAGCTTTTTTCTCCGCAAATTCCGCCTCAGTCAGTCGTTTAAATTGATTTCCAGAACTAGTGGTGTACTTCTTGTCACCTGTGATCGTTGAGGTTGTCGCAGGTGATGAGTATGATTGACGTGTTGGCCCGTTGTTACTTCCTCGCTGTGGGTTTGTGCCTCCTCCCGTCTTAGCCCCTCTTGTAGCTTTATTGTCATCAAGCATTATAGCGATCCGCATAGCTCTGGCTAGGCTCTCAGGTTCCATAATTCTAACTGTAGAACGTAATTCTGGCTTCAGCCCCTTGATGAAATTGCCTTCTAGAACCTTTTCTGGTATGTCGGTCAACTGTCCTGCTAACCGTTCAAAGAGACAAACGTAATCGCGAGCCGTTCCTTCCTGTTGAATCGTCAGAAATTGTTCATACAAACTTCCCTCCTATGATGGTTGGAACCGTTCCAGCAGTTGTTTTAGATCCGCCCATGTAGCAGACGGAGTTCGCGCTTCATTCCACCTGTACCATGACAATGCCGACCCGTCCAAACAGATTGCTGCCGCCCTTAACTAACTGGTCCTTCTCGTCAATCCGTTGAACTTCGAAGAAGCGTTCCACCCGATAAATCCAACCGTACACATCTTCCCCTTCGAAAATTGGTGCTTTGAGTTTTCGAAATTCCCAACCCAATCTCCCCGCTCCTTTGTTCCTGTCGTTGTTTTTGGGAGGTTTCCACCCCGATGCATCATCATCAAAATTGAATGATCCGAATTCAAACGCAGGTCCTTTGTTTGACTTCTGTCCCTCCACAGTGGTCGTGAGATTCCCAATAGCCTTCAAGATGTCGCTGAACTGCTGGGCGTTTTCCTTCCTGGTAGCTTCAAAATCCTCCCCCAGTTTCGACACTGTAGCTTCCAGCGCAGAGATCTTGGTGGTGTTGTTTGTCATTGTTATCAGAATCGACCGCTCTGATACCAATTGATAGACTCTGGATCCAAACCCGAAGGCAAGACCCGGAATTGGCCTGTGATTCGAGTAACAAGGGGTACTCCAAACTAGTCTGGGACTTTTATTAATCGCATAAAAGCAAAAACAAACAATAGAGTACCATATTTACTAGGGATCCTAAAATAACTCAAATACCTACCTTGCTCAATACTTTAAAGATAAATCCTAATTTAATAAAAAAACGTATCCTAACTTATTTAAATAATTAATCTAAATAAAGTAAGCTGGCAATCTCCACCATATCAATCTGATTGTCGCCTTTGGTAGACCCTACCAAACCTTCGGGGCGTATCATTACTCCCCTCCCAAACACGCACCTTGTCCGCAAGGTGGAATTCTGGAAACTGATGGTCCAAAGCCTCCCACGGTTCCCATGTAGCTTCATAACCAGGTAAGTTCTTCCAACGGATTAAAACCTCACGGCCATCTTCCAACGGATTAAAACCTCACGGCCAACAGTACCCTCACGAACTCCCTCCACAAGCTCCGGGTATAACAATACTTCCATTTCGTCTGTCAACGTGACAGGTAGCATGGGAGCCACGACCCTATTACCCAATGCTTTCCGCAATTGAGACACATGAAAAACTGGATGTATACGAGCATTATCCGGTAACTTCAAGCGATAAGCTACCTTACCAATCCTTTCTAAAACAGCAAACGACCCAAAATAACGCGGAGCAAGCTTTTCATTGCGACGACGAGCTACCGAACGTTGTCGATACGGTTTTAACTTCAGATATACCCGGTCACCTACATTAAATTCAACCTCACGCCGACTACGATCAACAGTAGTCTTCATTAACTGTTGCGCTCGAAACAGGTGGTCTCGCAATTCCTGTAATATCTGATCCCGACCCTCCAAATATACATCCACATCATTAACTGGAGTTCTGGAGCTTCCATAATAAAGCAACTGTGGAGGATCTCGACCATATAAGATACGAAATGGGGTAGTGTGAGCCGATGTATGAAAGGAAGTATTATACCAGTACTCCGCCCAAGACAACCATTTAACCCACTTAGTTGGCGAGTCACTAACAAAGCAACGTAAATAGGTCTCAAGACAACGATTAACGACTTCAGTCTGACCGTCCGTTTGGGGGTGATAAGCTGTGCTGCGCTTTAACGTAGTACCTTGCAAACGGAACAACTCCTTCCAGAATTGACTCAGAAAAACTTTATCACGATCCGACACTATCGACTCGGGTACTCCATGTAAACGGACCACCTCTCGTAGGAAAGCCGTAGCCACAGTTACAGCCGTGTACGGATGCTTCAATGGGACAAAGTGTGCGTATTTACTGAGTCGATCAACTATGACAAAAATGACCGTGTAACCTTCTGACCTTGGTAACCCATCAATAAAGTCCATGGTTATCTCTGACCACACCGACGATGGTAATTCCAGCGGTTGCAACAACCCTGCTGGTGCCATAGCTGAATACTTGTGTCGTTGACACACGTCACATTGACCACCTCTCGTAGGAAAGCCGTAGCCACAGTTACAGCCGTGTACGGATGCTTCAATGGGACAAAGTGTGCGTATTTACTGAGTCGATCAACTATGACAAAAATGACCGTGTAACCTTCTGACCTTGGTAACCCATCAATAAAGTCCATGGTTATCTCTGACCACACCGACGATGGTAATTCCAGCGGTTGCAACAACCCTGCTGGTGCCATAGCTGAATACTTGTGCCGTTGACACACGTCACATTCTGCCACCAATCTTGCGACATCGCCCCTCATACCTACCCAATAAACTTCTCTTGCCATCCTCTGATATGTCTTATGCGAACCGGAATGACCTCCTACAACACCTCCATGGAACTCAGCGAACAATTTTGGAATCCACGGAGACCCTCGCGGCAACACCAGGCGATCATTAAAAAGCAATCGGTCATGTTTAACTTAGTAACCTGGTGGTAAATCTTCCTCATCAAAAAATCGCTGCTTAGCGGCCCGTATGTCTGGCTCGTTATCTAACGCCTTCCATAAGTCACTCCAATCAAAACGACTAGTAGTTGTTAACGTATTAAATGTTGGGACGGTATTTTTACGAGATAATGCATCAGCAACATTGTTGCATTTACCTGGTTTGTACACAATGTCAAAATTGTACCCCAATAACTTCGATAGCCACTTTTGATGGTCATCAGTCACCGTGCGTTGTTCAAGGAGATACTTCAAACTCCTTTGATCCGTACGAACCACAAACTTACGTCCTATTAGGTAAGGACGCCACTTTTGGATGGCCATTACTACCGCCATTAATTCCCGCTCATAAACTGACTTGAGTCTTGCACGGCTTCCCAAAACATGGCTAAAGAAGGCTAGAGGTCGGTTTTCCTGCATCAAAACAGCCCCTACTCCATACCCCGACGCGTCCGTCTCTACTTCAAAAACTTTAGTAAAATCCGGTAATGCAAGAACCGGTACCCGAGTCATTGCTAATTGCAATTTCCGGAAAGCTTATGTGGCTTTGGAGTTCCAACAAAAATTGTCTTTCTTCAACTGTTCGGTTAGTGGCCATGCTATTCTCCCATACCCCTCTACAAACTTTCGGTAATAACCTGTGAGTCCTAAAAATCCGCGCAGTTCCCGCAATGTTGTGGGGATCGGCCAATCCATCATCGCTGTAATCTTAGCCGG